AACTGCAACGTTTCATTCAGAAAAATCACAGCTGCAGTGATGAATTAACTGAATTTATCATAAATCATTCAATATGTGCAAGAAAATATAAGTAAAAATACGTATGCATAAAAATTTTAGATTAAAACTATAAAATTTATTTTATTTTCTGATCTACTTTTATTATGCCTGTAGAAGAAGATATACTCCGCGATTTGTTACGATAAGTCTCTGTGTCATTCAGTCTTGAAATTATCTAATTTAATTGTCATAAATCTGTCGTCGTTAAATTTACGCGATGAGAAATATTTCACGTTCAGAATTTCTTAAAGTCAGTTTCATTACAAAACGAATAATGGCAAAACAAAATGCTATCTAATTGGATTTAAGAACTTATAGTTAGTGCAGATTGTGATGTCGCTTGCAGTTGCACGAAAAAGATTGAGATCAAGTGGGATCTTGCGAGCCGTTCTTTTGTCTAATGCAATAACGAAATATAATAAATACCATGTTGTTACCAATTCTGGCAAACCTCCAGGCTGTTGTCGACATGAGTCGTCGAAGGCTACAAGCTCAGGAAACAATAACATTTAATTTAATCGAAAATATAATTCACGAAATTAAATAATATATAACAAAAATATTTTTCGTATTGAAATAATCGGAATTTCAATACAGCGTGCTTTTTTTACAACAAAATCTGGAACCAACCAACAATGCAAAAGAAACACTTGTGTAGGACTATCTTTCAACATCAATCTATTTTTTTATGGTTATGAGAGCTCAGATACATCTTAGAAAAATGTTTTCGCTTCTGACATAATGCATACAGCTAAATCGACTTCCCGTTATTCAAGTGGACATATTAATCTCACAGATGCCTTTTTTTTCGTCCTCATAAATAGAAGCGGCACTGTTCCCAACGGGTTTATTAATCCGATGAGCCATGAGTGTAAAAATACGCAGCTGAGTGTCGGTAGATTTATCATGTCAGCAGACGGACGAAGACGAATGTCCCGTAACAATTAATGACTGTTACTCTCCCGTGATAACGAGAGCATTTGAGGAAAAGTGTCATTGAAAGCGGTCACAATATATCGTGCGATCATTAATAAAACTATTCAATTCAATCAAATATTAAAAAAAAATGAATACAATTAGAGTTTAAACAATATACACACAAACATATACACATATATATATATATATATATATATATATATACACACAGTGCGGTCCATAAGTTCCCGGACTGATTTTTTTGCAGCCTCCCAATTGACGTCATTTATCGGACGATTGTTGAACTACATATAGTGTGAACCTTTTCGAACAGCCATATTGAGTG